AAAAGACCACTAGAAAACACTTTGTAGTTATGAGTATTATCTTATCAAATTCTTTACCCAAAGTGTAAATCTGTATTCCTGTCCATTGGTGAGAGTCTCACTGATCAACTCTCATGTTGGGGAGCTCATCTCTGGGTGGTCAACTTTACAACTATAATTGTTAGCAAGTTTCATGATAGATGACTAGATAGAACATACATTGACTCCATATATACATACACACAGATGTATATATACATACACACATGTGCCTCCATACACACACCCATATCCTCCAGAAGCTGCTCCTTGGTTAATCTTGACCTACATAAGAGTTTCACCAAAGGAAAGAATAGGTCACAGTGTTATAGAGCACCTCAATTCTGTTAGAGGACAGGGGGAGAGGGATACCCCTGAAGCCCCAAAACCTGCCTGCTCTAAGTGGGTTCTGCCATCCACCGCAACAAGACAAAACATATAAAGCTTTAATGAAAAGTGACTTTAATACAGTGAATATACAATATGGAACACAAAGAATATAACTTCTAAATCAAACACCTGAAGTTACCCATCCCCTCGTGGGCAAAAGTCAACCCAAAAGGGATTGGCCCAAAGCAAGGCCTGAAATCCCGCCACAAGACTAAAGCACCTTCTGGCCAGGACCCATGGAAAAGGGTCAGAAATGGCCAGACAAATCTGGGAGGAAAAGAGCAAAATCAAAATCAATATAAACACTGCCATAGTCACCTCCCTACAGGTCTCTCACCCACATCTGCCTTAACCCAGTCCAGGGTCAGGAAACAAGCCTGGTTTCTTCATCACATGCTTGCTGCTCCATGTAGTTTCCTTAGGTCTCCGTCTTTTTCTCCATCTGGCCTCCTTTCTCCTTCTCTCTTCTTCTTTCTCCTTTTTCTCTGCTCAGCTCCACCCTCCTTCTGGGTGGGGCAGGGAACCTGGAACTTCCCTTCTCCTAGGGACCACCCAGTTACAACAGAACCTACTTAAATTCAATTTAAAATTTGAGTTCCTCTTTCTACCATGCTCAGTAGTCACATTTGATTAGTAACTACAAATTAAATGGCACAGATGTAAAATATCCCAAGCAATGTAGAAGTTTCTATTGAACAGTTGTGGTTCAAGATTCATTGTCACATATAATATACCAAGAAACTTTTACACACTTCTATATGCAAGCATTAAAAAATCAGTGATGAAAATTTAACATATCTGGAAAATATATGTATAATTGTATGACTGAGGTTTTACTCTGGAAAGTCATAGAAAAGGAAACCTTTCACTCCTTAGGAAATATCTAGCCTTCAAATTCTTTATCCCAAAATCTTGAGGAAATGGTGTCACCTATGTTGTTATCAAAGAATTATTTCCACATATTTGAGTTCTCTCTAAGGCAGAGGTCTTTCATTCACAAAGTGACACACCCAGGTTAGAGTTAAAATAAAGTCCACACCTTAATCTGGCAAATGTTATTACTCATGTTTCTTCCTGATATGGTTAAACCTATGATTACTTTATGCAAAAAAGAGGGAAATAACCATGGTTACTTAGCTAGATTATTTCTTTGATCATTTGATACTTTATCTGAACAAGGAAGTTCTGCTTGGATAAAATGTGTAGTCATTTATATTCACTTCTTCAGGGACAAAGAAAGTTCCTACACTGCCTTTGTCTTGAAAACATGAATAGGATGGTTTCGGAAGGGTATATAGCACAAATAAATCCTCTCTGAGAAGCATATTCAAAGAAGATCAAACTTTAATTGGGAAGAGTGAATATTTACATCAGCCTACGTCAGCCCTTCAAAACCTTAAGCTAGTCATTTACCTTCTCCCAGACATGGCTTCTTCATCTATCAAACAACATGATTGGCAAAAATTCTTCTGTAACTCCAATAACTTCCCAAGATGATTATGATTCATATCCTGTCTATAAACTTCTCCCTAACCTATGTGACCACTGTCTTGACTCATTGTGCTATGACGTCATAACTCCCACATTCTTTTCTAAGACTTAGCAAATTGTTACAATAAATAACAGTATTTTAGTTTACCAAACTGTCTATCCTTGGTTGCTTTCTTACTAAGTTTCTTTAAATGGCTTGGGGATTGAAGTGGCTTTGCCTAGGATTCTGTCATTTGAGGGAAGAGGGGTAAGAATGAGTTTTTATTCTATTAGACTTATATTTGGGTCAAAATTAAATAAAACAATGAATAGATCCTCTTTTGTATATAAGGTAGATAAGATTGGTACTGCATTTTTTAATACTTGAAAAAAGTAAAGAACAATGTTTTGACAAATTATGTGAAATTCATATTTCAGTGTTTATAAATAAAGCTGTATGGGGACACAGTCACAATAGTAGGATTTCTCAGCAACTGTTGCCTCAATGTCAATTGAGGATAACTACAATATCTACTCCATGAGACTTTATGTAAATAAATGACTAGCAAATATGTAAAGTAGTTAGAAGAGTGTTTGACACAAAGGTCTGTGGATATGTCTGTTGCCACATATTTTTATAAACTGAAGCTGCAGTAGCATACCCATTTATTAGTAATAATTGTTAGAATTTCATTTGCAGCACTCCACTAAATCTCCCTTTTTAGCAGTGGGGCAATAGGATGATGTCTGGAGACAACTAAAATGACAGCTTAGTCACTTATTCACAAAACTCAATTGTGTTACTTATAAATGTTTTATATGCTTTGTACTTCTTTCAAACATGAGTCTTGAAAGAACGCACATAAACTTCGAGTTCAGCATTCATCATATATTCTTTATAGTTGGTGACCTCTCTCTGTGAAGAAGTATACTTAAAAACACAGGCCAAGAAACCAGAAACAAACCCAAGCATATAAAATCAACTAATCTTTGACTAGAGTACCCAGTGGAAAAAGGATGGCATCTTCAAAAATAGATGTTGAGAAAATGGATAGCCACATGAAGATAATGAAATTGGATTTTATCTCACACCAACATCAACTCAAATGGATTAAAGACTTAAGATCTAAAATGCCTAGAAGAAAATTCAGGGAGAAATCTTCACGACATTGGTCCTTGCAATAAATTGATGGTTGTGACACTAAAAGGACAGACAACAAAAATGCAAATGCATAGGATATCACACTAAAAAAAAAAAAAAAAAAAACAATGAAACAGACAAAACCTTTTGTTGATCACTAAATCCGGGAAATGGCAGATAATACTTGCAAGTGGTACATCTGACAAAGAGTTGGTCTTCAGAATATATATGGCAATGCCTCAGCCATACCTAACAGTGGCTTATCTCTGTACAGGGCAACACCTCACCAACCTTTAATAATTCTCCCCTTTAGTTCTCCCTTTTCCCTGTTAAAATGTTTTCCTGTTTTGCTACATCAAAGCTTTTTTTTTTTTTTTAATATTTTGTGGTAGTGAGTTCACAGATGCAAAATTAGTGAGAGGTGAGAGGGGTCCTGGCCCAGAGAGAGTTTTAATACCCTTTGCCTAATAACCAAAATAATGTGGAGGTTCTGCCAAAGATGAAACACAAAACTATGCCTGTGATCCAGCAATCCATTTCTGGGTATGTAGAAAAATTGAATGAGTTTTGTCTTCTCATAATGAAACAGAGAAGTGTAGAGTTTATTTTGAATTAGATTCCACTTTGTCTCTTAACTACCATAATGAAACTGTTAAGTGAAAAGTAAGAAGTCTGACTCAACTATCTATGAGTAACTTCCGAAGAATACCCACTCACTGATTTCTCCACATTAAAGACTAAGGAATGCAGTGACAACCTGCTCTTACATTGTGATTGGAAAAACAAGATGAAGGTCATCAGCTGACTATTACAAAAGATCCCACACTTACTTTCTGTCTCAGACTGATATCTTTTAATTCAAAAGTTCCAAACAAATGACGTAAGCTTTAGTCCATTCCTGTGCTGATCCTTGTAACTTACTCTCACCAGATGGCACACACCTTGGGACTTCTTTTTGGCTGTGGATTCAAATTATGGCTACTAGTTTTAAATAAGCAGTTCCTTGATTATATTACAGCTTAATTACTTCTCAACCTATAGGAGTAACCCAGCTCACTATGAAGAATTTAGTGCCATGTTCAGCAGATAGTCCAATATTTGTTAAATGTTGATGAATGAAAATTTCTGTGCAAACTTACAGTGACTATTGATCATTAATATACTTACTGAAATGTTAATATTCAGGGAAAAGTCTGCATAGTTACATAGAACAAAACAAAATATTCCTTTTGTCAGATTGTTTAACTGGATGAAAAGAAAATGTGTGAAGTAAAAACCTTTTCTGAAGAATCTGAATGAAGTTCCACTTTACCACACACACTCCAGTTTGCTCTTTTCTTGCGGAAGAATAGCTAAGTAACTACTTGAAGACAGGATTTGATTTGCCTGAATTATCCAGATAATTGAAATAACTCATTCTCTGAGAAGCATCTGGGTACATCTGGACAGACTAGGCGGCCCTACTCGGTAAATGTCCTCTGACTTTCCTGGGCATAACGGAGCTACGCCCAGCTTAACTGCGAGATGAAAAAGACCCCTAGCTAAGAAAAGGTATCTTTGTCCTTTAGCGCAAAGTGCAAGCCGTATCTTGATTTTTCTCCATCTCCTTTCACCAAGACATCTAAGAGCTGTCCTATTGCTTTCAGCCTCTTCTTCCAACACTCTACTGAAGGTGTCCTAAATGTTTTAGAAATACGAGGGGGAGAAAAGAGGGGATCCTGAAGGTGCTGATATTGGATATTGGAATGTGCCATTCACTTAGGGGATGGGAAGAGAAAAGTCCCTGCGTCACTTATATCGTAGGTAGAAAATCACTATTGGACCTTAGATTATGTAAAACCTGGGCACCTGAACAACACAAAAATGCAGCCATGCGCAAGCAGGGCTTCTCGACTGCGAGCGGAATCCCAAATCACCCGCTGCTCTGGGGCGTGTCCCCCACCCCCCCACGTGGTGCGTTCTGGTACGTCCCAGCGCAGCTGCCTAGAGAGCTACGCGGAAGCCAGGCAGGCAGGCAGGGCGGTGGCGGTAGCACTGTGTACACCATGGCTTACCCGGGGCACCCTGGCGCCAGCGGCGGGTACTATCCTGGTGGGGTAAGTTTTGCCCGTGCGGGTTTGAGGCCGGGGCACAGATCCTGGACATCGATCTGAGGTAGCTTCAGGAACGCCCCTTTTATACCTCTCCGCTTGCTGCTTCACTCCGACTCCTGACAGTCACCCTGTTTCTTTGACCCCCACACCATCTCTCTCACCCAATGGGTGGCTCCGTGGAGCTAGGACGCGGAGGGAATGTGTCCCTAAAAACCTATCTTGTTACTGGGAAACATAGCGTGAAATGTGCAAGTGGGGAGTTGACTTCCTTCTCCTCCCTCCTTGTTTTTCCTCAGAGCAACAGCCATTTTAATCTGCAGTGGTCCAGAGCTCTAGCGCTCTCTCTCGATCTCTCTCTCTCTCTCCCTCTCTCACTAAGGAAAAAAAAAAATCAGAAAAAGCTTGTTTGTGCATAAGTCCTCCAAGCCTAGGGAGACTGCCTCTATTTGGTTTGGGATGCCTGTTATTGTGGGAAATGTTTGCAAGATTGAAAGTTCCCTCGCAGGGATATAGGCCAGCCAAGAGACCCCTTACCTCCTCTAGACACACCTGTGTCATTATTTTCCCAAAGCCAACCCTACTGGTACTTAAAGAGTTGTACAAATAACCATAAACGCAAAAAAGTGAAAGTAGCTTTAGTTCCCCCCCATTGCAATTCCTTCAGTAAACTGCCTGATAATAGAGACTTTTTAAGTTGTTTCATTTGTGCCGATGTTACTACTCATTTTGATCCAAACCACCAGTTTTAAAATTATAACGAGGGCACTCAATGGCTTAAATAATAATCAAATGAAAAACCAACAAACAAACAAAAAAGTGATTCAAAAGAATGATGCATGTATGTTTCCTGTTTCACAGTACGGAGGGGCTCCCGGAGGTCCTGCGTTTCCTGGACAAACTCAGGATCCACTTTATGGTTACTTTGCTGCTGTGGCTGGACAGGTTAGATTTTTCTAGTTATATTAAAGAATGGCCAGATTCTACATTTATATTAGCTTGTTATATTGACATAGAAAAAGGAACTTTCCTTTGGGAAAGAGTCCCATTGCTTCTGCAAAAGTGAAAAGAAAAAAATTTATTGTCTGTTATTTTAGAACAAGTTAGGACAAAGTATACTTACACTAGTTCAATTCAGAACTAAGCTTGTGGTTGAATTAGTGTAAGATTGAGCAGAAAGGAGATTACTATGAGTGTATTTTGAAGAGCTGTAAGGCAGACAATTGTCTTTAGAACATAATTGTCAGGTCTACGGTAATTTTTAGAGAAAATTCAGCTCTCCTGAATATAAACTCATTAGTACAACTGAAAGTTAAGTAGCCAGATTCTAGTAGACACTCTTTATATTCAACTTGATTGCTAATCAATTATCTGCTCCTCCTTTCCCCCAACCCTCCAAGGAGATAGGGGTTTTTGGTAAAAACCAACCAGCTTCAAAATAAGTTACTAGAACATATGGGATAAAATCCCAAGACAACCTTTTAGAATAGCAGTCTTAAGAAATGCAACTTGAGAATCTAAATGGAAAATTGAATCTAAAACTGAAAGAGCTTCCCCTTAAGTATCTGCTCCATCTGTTAGTGATCTGTACCTTTGAAACCAAGGAGGTGGCAAACCTTAAGACTTGTATTCTTAGATTGCCTAGGCCTTCAGGGTGTAAGTGACCCCACCTCCTTAGCTTTCAGAGGCCTTAGTCTGTACTAGAATACCCATTGTCTTTCAAATTAGTGATCCTGCTTCTCATCTAGAATTTATAATGCCTGCAAGCTGGAGGATTTCCGATTTTTCTGTTTAATCTCTAAAATCGCATCTATGTGGTTCTGACTAGGTGAGCTGGTGGATAGGCACAGGAAACCTATATTCCAGATAGTATTGTGATTTGATAAACCATTGATCATACTATAAGAAAAGGTGATCAGAGAGGCCTATTTGGACCAAGCTTTATATTTATTGTGGAACCCATTCTTTCCCCACCTCAGCACCACCCCCAAGCACGGAGGGGTAAGATTTTTAAGCAACTCCATCATTTTATTTAAAAATGCTTGGCTTTCACAGTTTACTAGCTCCCACTGTGAAGAGTCATTTGAGATGGAAACTAGTTTTATTCATACATTAAAACATGGCATGTATAATGGAAGAAGCTGTATTCACCTCGTGTTTTATTAAAAGTGGAAGTTTATACGTGAGGTTGTTTTTTGCCGAATCTAATATAGGAATTTAGAAGAACCAATGAAAAGATATTGTAATACTAAAGTATACATGCAAGCAGCTTTCAAAATTTGTTTTTTGTGTGTTATCTATTTAAAAATGGACTGAAATCGAATGCCCGCTTTACCAAGGGCATTGTACTTTTATGCAATGTACTTTTGTTTATGGTAGGAGAAGACTTAATAATTTGTCTTTCATCCTTAGATTACTTTTGGGAGAAAGTGAAGGAATGAATGCTTACTTCCTTTAAAAGAAATTCTTATGCATGATAATAGTTATTTTCTTTGTTCTTATTGCTCTATTGAATATTAAAAGTAAATAAGGAACTAAAAAGCACAAATCATTATTGTGGTTCTAATTCCTCTCCCTATTTCTTTCAAAAGGATGGGCAAATAGATGCTGATGAATTGCAGAGATGCCTGACACAGTCAGGCATTGCTGGTGGATACAAACGTAAGTTCACAGTCTCGGAGGCCTCTTATATTTCACAGTTAAGATACTTGTCAAATAGCCTTCAAAGAAAGTAAGTTTTTCTGATCCAGCAAAGTTCTTAATAAATCATTCCACTTTGCCCACCAGCTAAGTGTGTTTCTTAGATTTGGATCTCATATAGCTGCAAATAGTCAAAGCCATGACAGTCTGTATGGCCTCCTTTACAGGGGATGAGTTGAGGTGCTGAAAGGTAATCTGCCAGGTCTGATGTCATTAACGATTGAGTTAACATTTACTACTGTTGTCAAGCTTACTTTGTCCCTAACCTGGTGGCACTCAGGGTGCCACCTACGTGACTGGTCCTTTGCACCTGATCCCCAAGTGGCCTGCCCCACATTCCTGGTTCTGAGTGGTTGGTTGGGTCTCCCAACCCCATGCCATCAAGAATCCAGTGCTGTAATTCTGCTCTGAGTTCTGGGCATGCTACTGGCAAATAGATGAGTGCTTGCCACATTTCCCAAGTCTTTCCTCTTTCTACATCAGAGAATGTGTTCAGACTGAATACAAAGTGCCCTTCCTAGTTCCTGAACTCTTTACACTTGTTCTCCTTCCTCCCTTCCTCCCCAGGACCTCACAGGTTAGATTTGCTGCACTTTTACCTCCCTCCTGCCTTTTCAATATCTGCCATTAGCTGCAGATAGGGAACAGTTGCAGAGATGCTGCGTCCTGACTGAGGGCTTGTCATCATCTACACCCCTCCCCCCACATGATCCTTTTCAAATCAGATCTTGATCATGATCTTGACAAATATCCAGGGTAGAGAAAATCAAAACCCAACTTCTTGGCAAGCTTTGAATGAGCATGTTCAAACTAGGATTCCCACTTGAGAATTTATAGTATCAGTTTTTGATTAGGTGGCATGACATATTTATTAGATAAGTCTCTTCCTTAAATTATTTGCATTTCTATTTTTATTATCCCTTGCTTTACAATTTCAGTATCCTATTCATATTTCCTGGTTGCAGAATTTGTTTGGAGAGGAACCTTTTGCATTTCTGTCACTTAATCTGCCTTTACACAAAGAAGCCCTTCCTAGATTAGAGGCTTTTTCACTTGTAGAAAATTCAGTTTAGACATTGCCAAGCCCAAGCAAATAGGGGTGTGAACAAAGAAGTTCTAATAGCAGGTTTGGGAAAAGTGAGCTTTGTCACAACAGAGACTTATTTTACTGCCTTTCAGTGGAAGAGGTGTGGCAGATTTTAAAATCTGACTAACAAAGTGGGTTGTATATCCTTGACAGTCTTTTTAAAACTCATCTGAGAAAGAGCTACATTTGGTGGTAGCCTTAGATAACTCACTGAATTTTGGAGAAGACATTTACTGAGTCATCAAGGTAATGTGGTAGAGATTGTAGAAGCTACTAACAGCCACAGTCCTGCTTGTGAGATGTCAGTAGATTTTGTAATATAGAAATTATACAGTTACTGGTATTTTAAGCCCATCTTCCAAACCCAAAGGCACAGTTTGGGGAGCAGCTGGATAGTATCTGTAGGCACCTTCTCAATCAAGTTAAAAGAATGCAGTTATTCCTAGAGCTGTAGTAGATGAGGGATACTGCTGCAGGCTAGAGGCTATTGTTAATATTCTCATTCATTAAAACTGTTGGGAATGGTGAATTTTCTGCTTATTCACTTTGATTCACTTGTCTATCACCTTCCTCCCTTTCAAATCCTTCTCACAAAAGATGACTTGATTTCTGTTCTTCCTGACAGAGTGCTAGCCTGTTACTCTCCTCTTCTAAATACCTTGAGTAACTCTCTAGCCATAAAATGTAAGCTAAGGAGCTTTGCAGGAATTCAAGATGCTCTGTAGCATAGTCTCATCATATGGTACTTCCTTTACCTACCCCAGACTTTCCTGTTTCTCTTTAATTGTGTTGGTCCCTGACTCCACTTGGCTGTCATCAAAAGTCCTACATCTTCCCCATCATTCACTGTTTTACTTAGTGCTACCTCTTCTATGGAGTCTAATACTAGAAAGGAGCCACTCTTCAATCCTTCCTGGTACTTTTCAGTGCCTCTATTATGGCTTAACATTCTTTACCTTGATCAGAAGTATATGTGCATTTGTCTTTCCTTAGACTGTCAACTAGGGCAGCATCCAATTTTACATTTGTATCTCCAAAGGTCCTGGAATCCTGAGCCTGTACATAATAATTACTTAATAAGCATTTGTTGAGTTAATGAATGTATAATATTTTCTAAAACAGAAAAATCATATCCTTTAGAACAGAATAGAAAAAAATACTCTGGCAGTATTTGGACTTAAGACTGATAGTTGACCTCAGGGATTATACATTGCTTTTAAGATTTAGGAAAAAGCAGAAAATTTTATTTAAAGAACACATCCTTCTTAGATTCTTTGAAAGGAGTATATAGCATCCTGCATAGGGATGAGATTTGAGTCCATTCATTCATTTGTCTGCACAACACATTTTTTTTGGATCCCACTATGTGCTAGGAACTGGGGTGTGTAACCATAAATAGGGCCTATAGGACTTTGTGAAAAACTCTGGTATAAGTAAAGTATAGAGACTACAAGATCATAAAGTGGGGACATACAACCCAGAAATCAGGGAAGTTTTCTTACAGAATTGACAGCAAAAATGAGACTAAAAGTGAGTGGTATAGGGACATATTCCAAGCAGTTAGAACAAACAGCATGTAGAAGAAGACCCAGAGTGAGAGGGTGCACAGTTCAGTCAAGGAATTGAGAAATACTCAATAAAGATAGTGGGAGTTAAACAAGGAAACTAACTAGCCTGGGCAAATGGATTTGTAACCTTATATGCCAGCTAAGGTAGTTGGACTTCACCCTGGGAGCTGAAGATATAGTGGATTTAATATAGATGAGAACATACTATCCTGGCCTTTTGATAAAGACCCACCTTGGGAGCATGGGTCATCAGGGATTCCTGTTAAGTGGCTATGGTAGTTGGATAGGTAAGATTCATGCTAACTAGCCCTGGGAATTGACAGTGGTGCTGGAAATGGATCCTAAAACTGTTTAGAATTAGAAAGTGATTGAAAGAGGATGTTCCAGTTTTCTAACTCATGTGATCAAGTAGTTGGAGGGGCCATTTATAAAAATGAAAGACAGGCAAGCTGTCTGTTTCAGGATCTCTCAAAATCCTTAGCCTAAAGCCAAGCTCAACTGGCCCTGCCTGTGGTTGCCAGGCCTCCTAGAGTAACGGTTCTTAAACTATGGCACATCAGCATTACCTGGAAAGCCTAATAAAACCAGAATGTTGGCCTCTGCCATAGTTTCTCATTCAAAAGATTTGGAGTAGGAATTGAGAATTGGCATGTCTAATAAGTTTCTAGGTGATGTTGGTGCAGGTTAAACCAGTTGCTTAAATGTGAGTCTATATCACCCAAGGATCTTGTTAAACTGCAGGTACTGATCTTATTGCTGTATGTTAAGGACTGACATTGTGCAATTATGACAAACTCACAGACAAAACTAATATGACTATACTCATACTTCGAGTGTAACAATGGTCTCAACCACTGTAAAAAAAAAATACTATTCTATGTGCATCTCTATTGTGCAACAAATTTTAGAATTTATACCAACTTTGTCACTATGACCCTTTTCATGTCTATCTTTTAGCCTTACAACTTCTTGTACTTAAGTACTTCCTCAAAGTTACTGATTCCATTAACATAATGTAAAATTCAAGGGCTTACCTATAATGCTTAGGTCATTTATGTATAGACCATTAACCAATGCATGCATTCTAATTTGATTGTCTTAAGTTAGGTATAGAAATGCTCTCAGAACTCCCGTAAGATTGAAAGGCTTCTGAACCATGGCCATTACTCAGTTGGTCACTAGACCAACAGAGTGCTTTTATTTAACATACAATTCTATCAAGCATAATTTTCTGGTTTCCTATGTAAGTTTACTGTATTTGAACAGAACATAAACTAGTAGAGCTAGGAAGTTAATGCACAGTTAACTAACTAAGCATTTCTTTTTTTTAAAGATTTATTTATTTATTCATACAGAACTGGGGTACAGGCTAGAGATGCAGGGTGAGAGAATTCACCAGGGACAGAGTGGGGTGAAGAACAGGCAGATCGACGAAATACACTGCTGAGGGGAGCAGCGGGCGGGTCAGGAGAGGTCTGCCACGCCATGTGGTCACCTCCAGGGCAGGCAAGAATCGAACTCATGCGGAAGTGGCTTAAACTTCCTAATGCAGTGCTTTAACCCGCTGCGCCACCAGGGAGGGCCAAGCATTTCTTTTAACTGAAACATTAAAAGAAAAATAACTAGACAAAACACCACTAAAATCAACTGTTTATAGTCAGTTGTGAGTTGAAACAAAGCAACCCTACTTGCCTATTTGCCATGGTGAATATACTATGGTGCATTATGTTGAATTAAATTCACTATCTTATAGTTTAAAGGGCAATGAAAAGCACATAGTATTTTTAAAAGACTGTACTATAGCCATGTTAAATCTCTCCAAAAACAGAAAAAATTAAGCTTCTATGTATCCATTACAGTCAATCTAGGTGTTGTCTAGGTGTTGCTATTCACCTATGCCCCCTTCCCTGTTTTGTTTTTTAAGCAAATTCCAAATATTTTAACTTTCACTTCACCTACAGATATTTCCATTTTACTTTTCTAAAAGGATACTTTCCCCTCCAATTTCAAAACCATAACCGTACCTAAACAAATTAGCAGTACTGGGCAATAGTTTTTGTTTTCTTTTTTACATGGTTACTATTGAAGTTGTTAGAATCAAATTTGAGTTTTAGAAATAACCCACTTTGGAGAAAAACTGCAGCAAAGCTCCATATAATTCCACACAGTTGAGTAGCATACAAAAGTAAGAATGTATAAATAACCACATTCTGGGCCTCTGGTGGCGCAAGGGGTTAAGTCTCAGCACTATGAAGCAATCTGCAGTTAGTACAGCATGAGTTAGATCCCTGGCAAGGGAACCACCCTCATGACTCTGCAGGCAGACCTTCTGTCTCACCCGCTGCTTCCCTCAGCAGTGTATTTCAGTAGCTCTGCATGTTCTACTCCCCACTCTGTTTTTGGTGAGTCTTCTTAACCCCCACATTTCTGAACTACACCACAGTTGTTGTATGCATGAATAAATAAATCTTTAAAAGAAAAATTACATCCCTGATTAATGTGACTAATATAATGTGAATATTTAAAACTAATAATATATACTTTTCTTGTTCTTAACAGCTTTTAACCTGGAGACTTGTCGGCTTATGGTTTCGATGCTCGATGTATCCTTTACCATGATTATCTAGAATATTTTTCCCTGATAAAAATAGTACTCCTTAGAAGAATTCAAAGAATTCAGAAGAATACCCAGTAAACAAAGTGATAAATTACTACAAAAATGTTTTCTGAAATAATTAGCTTTTGAGATAAAATTTTTTATGAAGAAGGAAGGACTGTTAGTGAATAGAATGTTGGTTGTCAAGAATTAAAGGAAGTTATCCCAGGAGAAAAGTACAGAAAGCAGAGTGGAAACAAGAACTTTTGGCTTTAATGCTGACACTGTGTGACTCACACCTGACCTTCAGGATGGGATTTTTCATACCACAGTAGTTAAACATGTTTTGTGGTATTCTCCCAATGGGTTCCGTCCTGTGTTCCATTTTCCAATCTGGAAGGCCTTAACAAGGGAATGTGGGTGGAGTTTAGGAGGGCCAGCAGCACAGTGTGGGGCACCCAGAAGGTACAGCCCAGTTCCAGTAATGACTACTTTTTATACATGACTCACAGTGGTCACTGATTTCCTTGTAATCACACCACTAGATTATCCTTTCCCCACAGTGAAAATATGTATTCAGAGCTTTTACTCTGTAAATCCTTCCTAATATATCATTAATTTATCTTTTTATTATCTCATACCAAGAAGAACATGTAACTCTTTTTACCTTTTTAGTAGAACTTTAAATTCCCTTATCCTTGATCTTTGACTTAATCATTAGGAACTGTTGCAAAATAGCAATGCTTTAATCCTTGATTACTGTTCAGAGAGATATGTCAGGCACAATGGGTTTCACTGAATTTAAAGAACTCTGGGCTGTACTGAACGGCTGGAGGCAACATTTCATCAGTTTTGACAGTGATAGGAGTGGAACTGTGGATCCTCAGGAATTGCAAAAGGCCCTGACAACAATGGGTGAGTATGGCCAGCTTGAACTGATGTTCACTGAAGTGTAGGTTGCTTTTATTTTTATAAGTAAGTACTACACGAGGGCAGTTTACATGCTTTAGGATTAGTGTTTGTTCTTACTCTGTCTTGATAGTTTATGTTTAATGGTGTTTAGATTTTTGCTGGATGATTTCTCTTCCTTTCAGGATTTAGGTTGAGTCCCCAGGCTGTGAATTCAATTGCAAAACGATACAGCACCAATGGAAAGATCACCTTCGATGACTACATTGCCTGCTGTGTCAAACTGAGAGCTCTAACAGGTGTGTTCTTTGACACTAACAGGTGTGTTCTTTGACATCTCTTGTCACCACAGCCAAGAATATACACATTTTTAAAACTTCATTTTAATTTGGGGAGGGGGGTTACATTTTTGCTCCTCCATGTGTGGGCATGTTTTGTATAAGAGCCCTATTTAAAGCCAAGCAATACAAACAAACTAAAAGCTTGGAGCGTGGCTTTTCAAGTTAGTAATCTACAGAGAGAAACAGAACTCACTAGTCTCAAGTCAGCTATACTAGACTTTCAGTTAATAGAAGTAATTGGGCCCTCCCTGGTGGCGCAGCGGGTTAAAGCACAGCACTGAGAAGCTAAAGCCACCTCCTCTTGAGTTCGATTCCCACCTGCCCTGGAGGTGACCACATGGTGTGGTAGACCTCTCCTGGTCTGCCCGCTGCTCCCCTCAGCAGCGTACTTCATTAATCTTCCTGTTCTGCTCCCCACTTTATCTCTGGTGAAGCCTCTTGCCACCCCTGAGCCTCTGGCCTGTACCCCAGTTCTGTATGTACAAAATAAATAAATCTTCAAAAAAAAATGGTCATTTAAAAAGTAATTGGAGCAAAAATGGACCCTATATTATGATGTAGGAGATAGTTCATCAAGAATGAACAATATTTATGACATTTCATATCTCAGTTTCATATGTCACAATTTTTATGACATTTCATATCTTTTGTTGTCCCCATTTTCTTGGTTTCATGTCAGTGCCTGTTTAACATTGCTATCAAGAATATGTAACAGAATATTTCTGAAGATTTTTTTTCAGGATTTTTGGTTAGATTAGTAAGAAATCTGCCAGTAAAATAATTGTAACTATATTGTATTAAAATATTCCAAAACAGTGCTCGCTTCGGCAGCACATATACTAAAATTGGAACGATACAGAGAAGATTAGCATGGCCCCTGCGCAAGGATGACACGCAAATTCGTGAAGCGTTCCATATTTTTTGCTGCTTTATTTACAATTGGAAAAACATGGAAGCAGCCCAAATG